CGCCCGGCTCTCTGCCTCGGACCTTGCCCCTCTTCGTGTGGACTCTGCTACACCCAAGGTACCTTACCCCCGGGACCAGCACAGTATATAATATTTATTTGCAGAATATGGATAGCTTTTTGTTTTCTAATGTATTTCTTATCAATAAAAAATTCAGTGTGGTGCGAACAATCCCCCCCCCCCGAAAGTGTGGCCCGGAGAAAAAAGTTTGAGAACTCCTACCTTGGCGCTACATTGAATTTCTCCCATTAATAACACAAGAAGGGTCTGCTGGGTCAGGAAAATGGCCCATCTACTGCAACTCAATGGCCAGCCTGATGCCTGGTTCAATGGCCAAGCCCACAAGCAGGATCTGAGCACAAGAGGCCTCTCCCTTCCTGTGGTTCTGAATGCCAGTTGATGGAACCGCAGGAGACACTGAAAGCCCTCTCTTCCATGAAATTGCCCATTCTTCTTTTAAAGCCATCACTGTCTTCTGTGGCTGACGAAAGTTCTTGTGATACTCCTTTTTCCCTCAAAGAGTGACAATTCCCAGAGTTCCCAGTGAAAAGGGATTGATGGTTAAACTACACTAGGAATTGTAGTTTTGTGAAGGGAGTAGGTGCCTTATTCTTTGATGAAAGTTATGGCTGTTTAAGGTGCTATCAGAAGGCTTTAGATGGATGGACTGATTTTTGCCAGATACTAACTTTTTAGATACTAGCTTGTCATCCACCAGACTGATGCTACATTAATGTGAAATTTGCATTTCTTTCCTCTCCTTTTTATACTGCTTTCCTAAATATGCTTTCACAACATGCAGTAAAATCACCCTCAGGTATCAACATTATGTTGAATCAAGAAATTGCACAATGATTGCAGCTTTCACGTGGAAAATGTGAGCTGTATCTCTACCATTTTGGCTGATGTAGCACTTTTACAGTGCTGCAGAAGTATTGACAACCAGTTCTAATAAGAGTAGGAATTTTTGAAGAATGCTACAATTTCTTGTGCAAGGACTTGGGAGCAGGACACATAGAAGTAATATTTTCTTTAGTGTATTTCTGTTCAGGCTCCCAAAATATCAACCTGTGCTTTGCTTCTCCCCGATGCCTGACCACTGGCCGTCCTGAAGGGATCTGATGGAGTCTATCAACATTTGGAGCCTTCTAGGTTCTTCATCCTTGCACAAAGAGTTAATCTAGTTCAGCATCTGTTTCCAAAAGTAGCTAGCTAGATGCTTCTTGGAAGCTCACAAACAGAGCATGAAGGTAATAGATAGTTCTCATTTGTTGATTTCCCCAGAATTTAGTCCTTAAAGATATGTCAACTTAATAAATGCCTACAATGTTTTGTGTATCCTTTTCAAAAAATGTAATACATGAAATAGCATGGAGAGAGATGGCAATAAGAGGATTGGAAGAATGATTAGCATTGGGTTCCTCTGGTCCCTAAAACGTTGTTTTGTGTCAAATGTTTTATGCGCATTTTATAAAGGAAAACAAATCAGCAAAGCATGCCAGTTTGTAATATACAGCACGATACAAGGTCAGATAGATGTAATCAAAGCCAAGAAAAGGAAGAAAGAGGGGTGGGTTGGAGAAAGACTGGCAGAGTCAATTTGGCATGCACATCACACAAACTACTCCAAGTAGGACTCCCCGAGTTTATGCTCTTTATGCCTCCAGTGAAAGGCAGCTTTTTTATAAGCTGCAAGAGAAAAAAAGTCCTCCAGCCAATGAGCAATTGGGGGAGCAGTCCTTTCAGTGTTGCAAAACCAACTACGGTACTTGGCTTCATTGTCCCTCTGCAAACTCCAGGATGCCAGGACAATAGTGAAGTGTGGCATAAATGCCTGATAATTTTAAGTACATTCCTAGGACCAAATTAATAGCAATAAGGACCTCTGCTCAAAATGCAGTAACTACATGGCAAGACCAGATGGGATGTTTTAGTACAGGCGCTGCCTCACAATGCTAGCACATAGCCAAAGATTCAGTGCGCATCTAACAGAGGAAACAGTGAGTCTGATATGCCTGAAAAACAAGATTTTGTTAGATTAAAGATAATCTAAGTCGCGGAGAACAAAACCAGCAGGGACTTGTAAAACCTGTTTCTGTTACCTGACTAGGATGGTTAAGGATGTGGCTATTGGAGTGGGTCAGAAATCACAGTGGTGCAGTGGTTAGGGTGTTGGGCTCTGGCCTGGAAGACCAGGGTTCAAATGTCCACTTTTCTATGAAGCTCAGAGAGTGATCTTGGGCCAGTCACCGTCTCTCAACCTCATTCCCAAGGTCACTGTGAAGAAGAAGAAGAAGAGTTTGGATTTGATATCCCGCTTTATCACTACCCTAAGGAGTCTCAAAGCGGCTAACAATCTCTTTCCTTTCCTCCCCCACAACAAACACTCTGTGAGGTGAATGAGGCTGAGAGACTTCAGAGAAGTGTGACTAGCCTAAGGTCACCCAGCAGCTGCATGTGGAGGAGCGGGGAATCAAACCAGGTTCACCAGATTACGAGTCTACTGTTTTTAACCACTACACCAAACTGGCTCTCAGGATAACATGGAGAGGAGGAGAACCACGTGCACCAACTTGAGCTCTTTGGAGAAAAGGTGGCATATAGATGTAATATTTTTTTTAATAAAAAAAATAACCCAGTTTTGTAAGTCTGGGTTAACCAGTTTTGACATATCCATGTCATCCAAATGAAGCAAACAAAGTAACTTTTAAACATTCTTTTTCAAAAAGTGAAGCACAGTATTTCAAACATGCATATCCCTTGGTTCCCCCAGTTTTCATTAAAACATTTAGCGTGCCTGTCCCTTTCAGAATCATAAATTCTGCTAGCATTACACGCCGAACTGATTTAAAGCAGTTGCTCAATCAAAAGAAAGCAATGACTTTAGATTTTAGTGCTCTGTAATGTTCTGAAGCAAGCCATAATCTTCTTTGATGGACAAACTCTGATTCCCCACCCCCTTTGGATTTGGATCATCAGGTTTTTCTCCTATTATGAAGAACATCATCAACAGCTTTTAAAAAATGTGCTCATTGACTGGTCCAAGCATAATTTATTTGAAATCTCCAGAATTACTTTCCCATTTGTGCATTAGGCTGGGGGTGCAATCCTAAACGCACTAGCGTTGACTGAGCTTCCCATTCAGTGGTGCTTCATCTGCACAAATGCATTTAGAATTGCAGTCTGGGTTGCTATGCATAATTCAACGGAGATGCATTTTCAGAATATATGAAAGGACAAGTATGCAGGCAGGTCCCACTTATTCTATGCTTAAAACTAAAGGTGATAAAAAGCATTTTCAGTTTTTTCTCCTGCAATTTAAAAGGGGGTTACAATATTTTTTACTTGTAACTCTCATTTTAATTTTCAGGAGGGTGTTTATTATATTTTACAGATCTGTTTTCATTTTTTAAAGTCACCCTCAAAATGTAGAAATTTGAGGGAAACAAGTGTACTTGGGGAAAAGGTTTTTGCATTGACAGCTGATCTTCTATTACTTTCTACCAAGTATTCTAGATGGGAAACTAAGAATGTAGATTCCGTAAACTGAGGGCATACCCTCCAACATTTCTCCAATGAAAATAGGGGCATCCCATTCCATAATGATAATTTTACTATTTATACCCCACACATCTTACTGGGCTGCCCCTGCCACTCTGGGCAGCTTCCAACACACATATAAACATAATAAAACATTAAACATGAAAAAAAAACCCTCCCCTACACAGGATTGCCTTCAGATGGCTCGGGGGTTGGATAACTCCATTCCCTCTAACATTTCTCCAATGAAAAAAGGGACATCCTAAGTAAAAGTTGGACATTCCAGGATCAAATCAGAAACCAGGACAGCTTCTCTATATCAGGGACGTCCCTGGAAAATAGGGACACTTGGAGGGTCTGTGAGGGTTGTTTCAAACAACAAAATGCCGATGGAACAGAGTTGGGCAGTGGAAGAAAGAGGCATGATATAGCTTTAAAAATTGCAATTCAGTGGATTGGCAAGAACAGACTAAAGATAGGACCTCAACAGATTTTCTCTGGGAGGACCATGTAAAAGGTAAAGGTAAAGGGACTCCTGACCATTAGGTCCGGTTGCAAATGACTCTGGGGTTGCGGCGGTCATCTTGCTTTACTGGCCGAGGGAGCCGATGTTTGTCCACAGACAGTTTCACAGACAGTTTTTCCGGGTCATGTGGCCAGCATGACTAAGCCGCTTCTGGTGAAACCAGAGCAGCTCACAGAAACGCCGTTTACCTTCCTGCTGGAGCGGTACCTATTTATTTACTTTCACTTTGACGTGCTTTCGAACTGCTAGGTTGGCAGGAGCTGGGACTGAGAAACGGGAGCTCACCCCGTTGTGGGGATTCGAACCGCCGACCTTCTCATCAGCAAGCCCTAGGCTCTGTGGTTTAAACCATAGTGCCACCCGCGTCCCTGGAGGACCATGTAGGCTTGCACAAAAAAAATATTTTTGACAGCTAATCTTCAGTTGGTCCACAGACAGCATAGGCTCACTAGCATAAGCTGCTGGGGTTCTACTGGTAGCCAAGACTATGTGAACTAAAAATGGTCTGTCTTGGGCAGCAGAAGGCTGAATAGATTAAGCTGGAGAAAACCCCATGATTTGTAAAGGAGGTAGACCCAACTGCACTTGAGTCCACTTGAATTAAGAAGACCCTGAGCTGAGCTGAACAGGCTTGCAGCAGCAGCAACTGGAGCCCAGCATGGCGCTTCCACTCATAGACCCCAACTCTATGGGGCTGAGACCTACCAATCTTGAGGGGCTGCACCTTGCCGGGCCTTGCCACAGCTAAGGCAGGCCCCACTGGGCCTCCCCATGGCAGTGGTGAGCCTCACCAGGTCTGCCCATTGGGCCTCCCCATGGCTGCGGCAGGCCCTGTTGAGCTTCCTTGCCTCACAGCCTACTCCCGCTGTGTGACATCACCCATGCACATTGCGTGCATGATGTCACATGTGAACAACCCACCCTAAAAGTTGGGCGGAACCTGGTGTCTATGCTTCCATGGAACTGATTTCTTAAGGTACCTGCTGGTGGAGACACAAGGGGCAGAGTCAAGGGGAAGGCACTGCTAGGAAAGTTCTCCACTCACTCTAAGCAAGAAGGATTGAACATGTACATCCCAGAGTCACTGATACTGCAACCCAAAAGACACTTGATTTCAAGTAAGCAATTATTATGGGCACAGAATTATAGCCATTAATAAAACTCTCCAGAGTCATTTGATAACTGATTCTTCCTTAAGGTATCCTGACTGATTTGCATTCCACCCAGGATATAAGTTTGGCTTATAGTTTTCTGAATAAAAATTTGGTTATGTTACCCAGTTCTTTATTTTTGCTTCGTTATAATTATCTCCCCTTCTTTTTAATTTTTCTTTCATCTCTTTCATTTCTCCAATAGCCCCTCCGTTCATTTGGGTTAGACAGGTTCCTATAGGAAGCATTACGCTTACTAATTTCATCTACCATCAAATTGTTCTTCTGACTCAAGAGTAATATGCTTTTTCAACATATTTCCCATGTAGCATTTTTATTTTAAACAGGGAGAGAGAAAAAGACTAGACAGCTGTGCAATTGACAAGCTGAGTTGGGACTCATCACATTGACATAACATGCATGGTGCTGACAAAGCTCAATGGAACTGATGAAGTCTGACAAAACATACCTCAGCACATTGCAGAGGCTTCTTTTCCCCCACGCACAAACACTTAAATAAAAGAGCGAACGGAGGATAGGCATGCCACACATGTGACGATCCAGGAGGGTGATATAGGAAGAAGATGGCTTATTAACATGCTCCCTTGCAAAGGGATGATCACCATCAGAGCTGCTGTAAAGCAGTAATTAACTTTTTAGGACAGGTGGGTATTGGCACACTGGCAGGTAGAGAGGGGCAAAACTGTCAATTTTGTTTTCTACCAGTCTCTTAGCACACATTGTTCGGAGAACTTCATCGTAAAATCTGGAGAATGTGAATGCCAAAGGATGGGTGTGTTTCAGTTTCCATACTATGTAGGTAGCGCTGCCTGAGCATAGCTGTCAAGTGTCCCTTATTTGAAGGGACAGTCCCTTATTCCAGTGCCATGTCCCGCTGCTGTCCCTTATTGATAGATGTCCCTTAAATGTCCCTTAAATGATGTCCCTTAAATTTCAAAGGAAGCAGCTCCTCTCCCTCCCTCCCTGCCAGCCAGGGAGGAGGGAGGCTCCAACTGTGTTGCTTGGCTGTGTTGCTCACCCAATAAGAAGTCTAAGAACGACTGGGGGGTGGAGCTTGCATGCCTTGTATGTGGCTAGTTAATGCAAGCTGAGGGTTTTTTTGAATGCTGGACGCCATTTTGTTGCACGTGCTGCTGCAAACTTTGCAGTGCAAAGCCAGGCCGGGGAGCCATCTTAAGTTGAGGCTGCATAGGCCTTGTGGTGCATGTGATTCAGATTCTATTCAGTTGAACCTCTGGTTACAAAGTTGGTTGGACAGTGTTCTCGAAGCTACCCAGCATGAGTTTGACCAGACTGCAGGAGGACAGGAAGACTGGAGTGCCTGGAACAGGTGAGGCTGCAGGTCCCTTATTTTGGCTGCTGGTCCCTTATTTTCAAGGCTGCTGGTCCCTTATTTTCAAATCTGTAAGTTGACAGCTATGTGCCTGAGAACTGAATTGATTTTCTCCCCACTCCCCCAACACACTTGCAAGAGTTAATAGCAGAGATGGTGAAATCTCAACCCCCACCTTTTAAAAGCAAAACCACTAGTTTTATCAAAAGCCTTTCAGTTTTCCTTCAATTTCCTTAAAAGTTTTAGATGAGGTGGAGCCTGCCAATTTGCTTTGAATTTCACTTGAGGTTGACAGTGTACCCGAAATTCTTTTGACTTCTCCCAAAACTCTTCACATGGCTTCACCCAAAAGCAATCCCCAAGCTCACTTTGAATTTCAATGTAGGTGAAATTTCAGTGACAACTTTTATTTACATGTGATTCTGACCGACAAAGAAGATCTTCAGTTCCCCAAATTGTTTTTGAGGGTGAGTGTGTACAGCAGCATCACAAGACTAGCATGTCTGAACCTCTGATGGATCACAGCTGCTTAAAGTTCAGTTTCACAGCAGTTTTTCAGCTTCTAGGCAGCTTCCAAATAGGCAACCAGTTTGCATAAAGATGGCTCTAAGTGGATAATCAGTGAGTCTGCACCACACTACCAAGGACCAGTCTTGCATATGGGAATTTGGCAGCTGGATGCTGCAGCCAACACATAACACAATAAAATAAGCCACCATGTGCCAGAGGACTTGTAATGAATCAGCCATGTTTTGATCAACTTGGCATAAACAGCTTCCATGTTTGAAAGGAAAAATCCCATTGGTGCAGACAAACCTGGTGGAAAATGTCCAATGTCCCTCTTCCTCAGAGAGAAATCCTTCCTTCCCTGAGACCCTCATGCTCTGAGACAGAAGAGGAGTTCCCGCACTGCAAGTAAGGTGCTGTTATCATATCCCCACAGACTTGTCCACCAGCCTTGCCACCTGTCTCAGCTTCTGCAAGTCAGTTATCTTGGCCTCAAGGCATCACACATTCCCTGAGAGCCAGGAACTCCCTGCACTAGCGCCCACAACTTCTGTCCAGTAGGCATGTGACACTCTGTACAATACACTTTGCAGCACCCATGCTACTGCTGGCTTTCAAACTTTGTAGTTATTTTTTCTTTTTTCAGCACATTTAACAGGATATTTATGATCAGATGTTGGGAAATTGCTGACTTCCCTGATCTCCTTGCCCAACTCACAAAGAGGCTGAACTTGCCTCTCCTTCTTATAAACTTGATTACTGGGTTCAGTAAAGGGCAACCAAAATGGCCAAAGGCCTGAAGCAACTCACCCTGAGAAAAGGTTACAGCACTTGGTGCTTCTTTAGCTTAGGGAAAGAGTAAGGGGAGGACATGGCAAAGGCATGCCAAAATATGCATGGTGTGAAGAAAATGGACAGTGGAAGTTCTTCTCCCCTTCTCCTAAGAACTCAGGCTCATCAAGTGAAGCTTAATGATGAAGGCTGCCAACCCGGATGCCTATCCATCATGATGGCCATGCTAGGCAGGGTGCCTCTGGGTACCAGAGTTGCTGGTAGGGAGAGGGCTGTTGCTCTCAGGCCCTCCTTGCACCATGGGAACAGAAGGGGCATTGACCTGACCTAGTAGGGCTCTTCCATTCTTCCATTTCTTAAACGGATCCAGACAACCAGTATTGCACAAGAGTAACTGGAGCTGACTGGCCACCATTTTCTAAAACACCTTTCCCAGGAAAAGTAAGTAAGAAACTGGAAACAGTTCCCCAGGACAGCAGGATCCAGTAATGATTTCTTAAGGAGGGGCCTAATAGCTGCTTTTTCAAAAGGGCAACTTGTGCTAATGACCAGGATTCCCCAGACCTTCAAAATGTCCTTCACTAGCCATTAAGTACACATGTTGAGAAGATAAATCAAGACACAGACTTCTCCAGGCACCTTGTTTGTATCCTCAGCTTAAATAAAATGAGACACATTCATGCAAAGAAAGGGGACCCAGAATGAACCCCTTTCCAAAAGAGGCATCTAAACTAGAACAAATGTGAGTGACTTTATCCTCGTTGTCTCTGCCTCTCCCCGGGACTTGGCTAAGGCCAAGGTCATGGGCCACTTGTGAAAACCACATGCTTGCTCATCCAATCTTTCAGTAGTTTTCAGCGGCTCATTTGACTGCTTAGCTCTCTGCATATTGGCCTGCTCTTTTCAGATCCATAGCATGTTTTCACTCCAGTGCATTTATTTTATTTTCCTTCCCCTTTATGCTGCATTGTAGGTCATGAACTCTACATATAATATTGCACCACTGAAAAAAATGCCTTCCGAGCTCTGTAAGTGCTTCATTATACAACAACCTGCTGGTACGGGTGCAATTATACATGACAAGGAAAAAATGGTATATTTGTTTAAATCAAAAATACAAGTGGACAAGGATAGCTAGACCTTTCCTTTACCCTTATTACTTGTTTCAGTTTTGTTGCTGGTGTTTTTATGCCGTCTGTTTAATAGGCAAGGCAGCTGACAACTGAATTAGCACTCTCTTCTTAGTATGCCACTGGCTCATGACAATAGCCTAAGGGATAAGATATAGATAACTGAGAGGTTTTCTCACTGTTGTGATATATTTTTTCATATGGTTAATAAGCCAATTGAAATGACATTCTGTCACAGCGGTACTATTCAGTGAGCTTGCGATTTCCCTTGTGCTGATGCTAAGCACTAGGAGGAGATGCATAGTTCCACTGCTTTCTCCCCTTCCTTCCAGAATGGGTTTTATTTTTATTTTTTAATGAATATGACAACCTGCAAACTAGACATGTCCTTCGGTGTTGCTATGGATTAACTCTTGTTTATCATGGCTAATGGGAAAGGCTTCCGGCTTTTGCTCTATTTTTTATTCTAAAAAGACTAATGACAGTACTCAGAAGATGTCCAGCTGTGGCTTTTTCAAACGAAACCTCGCATGTAACAGGCGGCAGAGGCTGTGGAATCCCACAAGAGAAATTCTGCAGCCTGCAGTTTAGCTGCGGACCAATTTGGATGACCACTTTGCCTGTGATGGGCTATTTTCTTAGGGTCACATTTTCCCTGTCTATTGTCCCACATTTAGGAAGAGTTTGCCACCTTTTGGATCCAAGTTCTCCCAAACACCAGCCTTAAAAATGACAATGATGGACATACAGACATATAGACTCCCTCGGAAGGTGGTGGCCTCTCCCTTCCTGGAGATTTTCAGGCAGAGGCTGAATGGCCATCTGACAGGGATTCTTTAGCTGTGATTCTTGCAATTCCAGGGGGGTTGGACTAGATGACCCTTGTGGTCCCTTTCTAACACTACAATTCTATGATACTAAGTGCCTGAAAAGGCACGCACTGCATTTTGAGAAAGTTCATTAACAGGAAGGAAGTAAATGGAGCTAGCTTCAACAAAATGGTCATGATTTTGAAACTTTTTAATATTGTGATACTCGCTATATAGCGTGAGTCCACAAGGGCATATTGTCATTGCAGCCTTCACAACTGCTAAAATCCAGGCATTTCCCTAATACCAATTCCTGGAGGGAGCACTGCAGGGAGATTTACAATTGTGTTTGCAAGACCTGTGCCTGCTCCATATTCCAACATGCATATAAGTGGCACACTTTGTCCATGCGACTGTGGTCCCTCTAACAGGCAGTTTCCATAATCACGTGAACAAAGGATTCATCTGTAGAGTTTATTTGCTTGCAGGCTCCTTCTCACCTTCCCCTTGTGGCATGCATGGGGGGTGCACCTGGGATGAACACCACCCCACTTTCCTATGTATGCACTTTCAGCTGAATGTGTGAAAGGGACTGTGACTCCTACAATCTCTAGGACCTGGTTTGATTAGACTAGGACCTAATGGAAGGGACCTCACTGTTGCCACTCTAACAAGTTTAGGCAGTGCTGTTTTTCTAGAAGAAGAGGCAAATTCCCTATGAAAAACCCCCTGAGTTTAGGGAAAGGGAATGGCACCAGTCCATTAATTCCTGGGATGAAAACGTGAAGAGGGTCTGGTCCCAGTTCATAACGGGCTTGGGTGGGGTGATTGAATTCCCATTCCCAGTTCAAGATTAAGCACCATGATTATTTGTGTGTGGCTCTTAATCTGAAAGCTGGTTTGTTTCAGCTGGTGTTTTTATACAGCTGTACATGTGTTGCGTGTCCATACCCCAGTTTTCAGGGTTTTAATTATATTATTATTGTTTTCATTTATATGCAAACCTCCTTGAGGACTCTATGACACAAAGATGGCAAGATAAAAATAAATGTAGATATTTATTTTTAAAGTTGTATTCTGCTTTTCCACCAAGGTACATAAAGTGGTGCCCACAGAATAATGTGCATCTATAGCAGTACATACAAACACATCTCCTCAAAAGGCTATGAAGAAACAAAAAGAGGAAGTTGGCATAGGCAGTCTGGAAAGAATGCTTGGAATCCTAAACTAAAGCCCATGGCATTCTCCAGAAAGTCCCTGCACCCAAGAATCAGGCAAAGGTCTGGTGGCCAGCAGAGGGAGCAGGGACACCACCTCAGGTCTCAGAACCTGAGAACGTTAAAGGAGTCCTCTTGAGCAGGCTTTCCATTCATTTGAGTGAGTTATTCTGCTTCATTGTTCAATCAACTGGAGGTGGTAAACCTTTGTCTGGGCTGTACCACTTCAGACCGCAAGTGGGAGACACACATGACTTCATTTAAAAAAGCTGTCCTTGCCCATACACACATGCACACTTGTCATCTCAAGGAGAGTGTTAGGCTATCACCTTTTGTCCTGGCATCTAGTTGTCAACGTGGAGGGCATCTTTTGTATAATCAAGTATTCAGTCACATGAATTCTGCCTGCAGTCTTAAGTGGTGTGGTCCTGACCCAGATTTATCATCTCAGTTGAGAACTCGGCTCTGGTCAGAATCATTAATCCAGCATGGAGTGCCTTCAAAGTACTTGGCTAGTCAAGATGCATGTTTCCAGTTCAGGAACTATCTTCTTCACACTAAATGAGCTTTTTGGGTTTGTTTCAGTGAGTGGTATTAGCACAAAGTTGATTGGCTATGATGCATTGTGACATCATCATGATCTAGATGAGATCATTGATTTACTGGAATCACTCTACCAATAGGAAATCAAGTGGGGAGGGGAGCGGCACAGAAGTAGCAAAGGGGAGAAATAATGGCAATGAACAGGTCCAAAAATGGTTAACAATCTCAATAATTAAGCAACAGGATTTGAAAAACAAAATGAATAATCCCCCACAAAGTGCTATTTTTGAGCCAAGATTGAGGTGGGTTCAACAGAGTCTAAAAGTAGTACAGCCTGGACACAGATTTACCATACGATGAGTTGTTATTTGTAAAACTTACAGATAGTGTTTTCTAGTGGAATTACTCAAAGCAGTGTACAAACTGAGGCAAGCAAAAAAAAAAAAAACCCTGTTCAATAGTTAGAAACTAACGGTGCAGAGATTAAGCAGCCATAGTCAGAAATGATTTTAACATCCTAGTCAAAAACTTGTTGGAAAGAACAGAAAAATCTTTACCGGTCTTCAGAAACTGAAGCCAAGTGGTCTTGACAGGCAATGTTTTCCATGTCCTCATGACACAACAGGCAAGGCTTTGCTTCATACACCCAGAGACTGAATTCCATGTAAGTGTGGGATTCACTGCAAGGCCTCCTGAGACATACTTTACCTCTATCACATTCTGTTTATCACTAGCAGAAAGGACATGTGCTACAGCTCTTCAAAAACTGTACCATTTCAGAGCGCTGATGTGAGATCACATGATGTGCCCACCACATCACATGCTTTCTAACAACGGAAAGCTAGCATGTCGCAGAGAAGGATCATTCTCTTTGACATGCTGGTATTTGATAGGCTGGGATGTCTGTATATGGGGATGCATTAAACCTGCATGGGCTTTGCCATGTGTGCTTCTGAAGATCAGCATCTGAATCACAGGGAGGTGTCTAAGTTGATCTCATCTGGATTTCCAAATGTTGGCAGGCAACAAACACCTTTTAGGTGGCTCCTTTTCTACAGTATATGTCTACATAGCGCTATTTCCTAGGATAACATTATCATGAATTAATGTATGGCTGCCCAAGTTTAACTCTGCAACATAACCTTAACCTTTTTAGTTAAGAGCTGGAATTAGAATGGCAGAGTTGTCCTTGTTCACCATGTGCAGTCAATTGCCCCTTAGGGAGGACGATGGAGATGGAGAATTTTATGCACAGGCACATATTGTTCAACATGTTTATATACACTCGATACACCGCATGCTTCCAAGCAGCTCGTTTTTGTGTAGCAGATTATTAATCAAAGCAGCATCCAAATGCACAGCCAATTGTGTCTGCTTCAGTTGCCCCAGTTCATAGTGAAATGTGTTCCTGTGCTACAAAGTCCTTATCTAACATTTAAATAGAAATGTTTTCCCCCCCATGGGTGCTAAGTGTAGGGTAGGCGCCAATGAACAAAAGACATACTAGTAAAGTTCTGGTGAAGCTTCTACTTTCCCCAAAAGATCTGAAATGTTTGTGGGATTTCATCTCTGAAAATGGCTTTATTGCATTTTATTTTTACATAGTGCATATAAAATCAGGGTCTTCTATCATTCTTCTGCAATTATCCCATACATTTGCTTTTTCTTAAATAATGAAGGCTATGTAATCCTCCCACAGTTCCCAAATTTTTCAGTGGAACTTGCACAGGGGGAACTTGCTGGTGCAGAAATACAAGAATGAATGCAATTACCCACCCCTTTACTTTAGTGTAACTAGTTACGATGCCCTCAGTTTGGTGGAGTGCCACATGTATAAAAAACAAGACGGAGAAAACTTCATCACTGATTTTATTGTGCTGCTTTCGCCTTCCTCCTCCACTTATCCCTTGTTCAGAGAAGTTCTTTGTTTGTATATTTTCTTCCCTAGCCCCTCTGCATGTCTCTTTATTTTCATGTGCTTTGAAGTGGTAAATCCTGCAGGTGACCAACTTTCATCCATAATCTGTGGCATTCAAATTAAAAGGAGTGGGCTATAGATTGTAGGATTTTCTGCACACCCTGTCTAAATCCTACCAGGGTCCCTTATGCATTAGCAAATCCAGGAGCAGAGAGTGAAGCTAAATTGATCCAATCAATGTTGCCACATGCAATCATGTTGTATTCATTGCTGGTCAACAAATAAGCTGAAGCCCAGGTATATTTTCTCCTCCTTAATTCACTTGCTAGTTAAGGCTGGATAGCTTGCCTGGATGAGATGTCTTGCAATCTCCAGCCAAAGCACAGCTTTGCAGCTTTCATTAATCATGGGAAACACTTTGAATTTTGCTAAAATAATAAGGCTTGGCTGTGCCTTTGCTTTAACAGCACACTTCTGTGCCGCGTTTGCCCAGACTTGTGCTGCAATAAGAGTAAATATGATCGTCTTTCATAGCAAACTCAGCTATAGCTGTAAAGGAGTTAGATAGCATGGAAATCAGTGCATTTTCCTCCTGCAACATTAAACAAAAAGGTTAAGCTCCCACTGACAGGAAAGATGTATTTGCAAGTGATTAGTTATATTTCTATCATCGTGCTTGTCTGTGTTCTCCTTTTGATGTTTAAACAAAGCTCTTGAACACACTGGGTTGTAGTCTCTGATGTTGATTTATAGGTAGGACTGAATTCCAAACACTGAGCTAGTGGGAAGGCCTTTTTTTAAAAAAATCAAAAAATCTGAGACTGCCTTCCTGCTGCTTAGTATGTGACAAAGCCATATAGTTTGGGGCTCTGCCTGTCAAGAGCAGGTGTACAAGAGGGGAGTCCTTCAGGAACAAAGACCTGAACTGTTCACTGAGGGAATGGTTCCACTGCATGCACGGCAAATGTCAAAGCACACCTTTTCTTTCTTCCTTTTATGTAAAAATCTTTCCTGTATGTAAAAATCATAATGTTTGAGGTGGCAAAAGCACCTAAGTTACAGTCCAAAGTAAATTTGCAGTGATATCCTATGCTTCTCCAGTCAGAATATGTCTTCATTTCAATGGGATTTACATATAGGATTGTAATTTTAACAGACTGGGACCAGTTCACATGGGACCACCTCCCCCCCCCCATATGCTCACTGGCACTTTTACAGGCACCACAGGGAACGTAACTAGAGACAGGAGTAAGGCGTCGACTAAAGCAGGACTAAGGGAAGAGAACATCGTCTGTGGTGAATTAAGAGAGGCGAGATTGGACCTGAGTAACTGTGGATGGCAAGCCTTACCAAAGAGGGAAGAACTTGAAAAGAGAGGAAGAAGGCAGCAAACGCGACTGGCCTAAGCGTGTTGACGAGAAGGGAGGGGGTTCATCAGGCTCTGAATATAAAAGACACACTGGAGCTTGGGAAACACTTTGCACCCAAAAGGAAGTAGGAATCCTCACACTGTACTTTAATGTGATGCATGAAGTGAAACATGGCTCCTTTTTCATGATTATTTATTATTTCCAGATTTGTAATTTGCTCCCCAAAGGGAGCCCAGAGCAGCTGGCAGTGCTAAAATTACATAAAAACAATTTTAAAATAATGACTGCTCCCCGCTTAAAACGGGGGGCGCCCTTTGCGTGGACGCACGCAGCCCCTAGATCTGGAGCGGCCCCATCAGCATAGGCTTGGCTTTGCCTTCCCTCAGGTGGGATACCTGGAGGTCTCCGCCTACCTCAGTCAGATGTCCAATCCCACCTGGGGGAAGCGTTGCCAAGGAGACCAGGCCAGGTATGGGAGGGATTACCTGCCCACACAATAGATGGAGGATCTTACCTGGGAATCCTCACTTGGCTCCAGAGCTTCTCCCACCCTACCCACCCTCAGTTAATGTCTTATTTTGCAGGTTAACTTTTCTTCACAGGTTTTGCAGGTTAACTTTTCTTCACAGGTATGTGGGCGCTGCTACGTTAAGGTCGCTGTTAAAGGGCTGGAAAGGAATTTCCCTGCATTGGCAGGTTTCGCCTTTCCCGTAGCAAAACATCACAACTTTGGCGGTATCAGGCCTTGGGCGGAATCCTTTAGTCCATCTTCCTCTTTGCGGCGGCGATACCAGGGTTCCCCGTTAAAGGGGTTTCTGAAGGGAGGCTTTGACCGTACACTGAAAGGTCGTCATTGCTCTCCCCTGCGGCGGCGGCGGCGTAACGGGGGCGGCTATCTCTGCTTGAACATATGTTCTCCAGAGCCGGCCCATCCCCCCCCCACTGGATAACCCTGAAGCTCCCTAGGTCCCCGGCTGGGGACTGGGGAGGGAGAACGCCCAATGCCTGAGCCAAGGTCTACCCACATTTGAAATTTAATAAAGTTGTGGCCAATTTAATCCCATAGCACGTTGTCTTGAGTCGTTATTCCACATGACGGGGGGGACCGCTTGGGATCTGGGGACTCCGCCTGTCCACGCAATACAATGTACAGTACATTGCACTTGGCAATGCATATGGAGGCTGTATTGTCCATCTGAACAAAACGTTCCTGTATGGCTTTTAGATCTATGAAGGAAAATACCAGGATGGGAAGAGCAGGACTGGGATAACTGACAATTTTATCTTATCTGCTGCACAATTCATTTATACCCTAGCTACATGAAAGGAGCAACTCCCAAGCCAATTAATTCAGATTAATTCTATACTATAATTATCAGTATTCCAGAATGATATATTTAAGTGCTGCACATTTAACACTGGATACATTTATGTAGCTAGATTCTTTAAAGGAAAGGATAGTAATATCCTTAGTACAGAAACTTAGTACACACAATCCTGGGCATTACTCTCAGGCAAGTGTGCAGAAGTATACAGTCTTAGATTTCTTTGTGCGTCTACATGTGCATCTGGTAAGCCAAACTATGACATACAAGGACCTCACAAATGTGTGAACTGTTGGAAAGGAGCTTGCAGCGCTTTGCTTCTCCACAGATGCTTTTATTCTTGTGTCAAGCTGAGCTAAATCAAGATTTGACTTAATTTGTCAACCAAACCTGGG